GTCGTTGTTTGGCGGGCCCAGGCTGGATTCGAACCCACCACCTTGGGTGTACGTGGTTGGCGCCTTAGCCACTTGAGCCACAGGTGCTGAGCCCCCTGCTAATATTCTACATATCATCCTCAGTTTATTTAGTTTCAAAGCTTAAACATTTTTCATTTCTTTCTGTTTCTCTCACCCAAGCAGGAAACCGTATCAATCTCTTAACATCTGCTTTATTACTCTGTTCTTATTACTCTGTTCTTACCTCCCTAATGTTAGGATTTCTACTCAAACTACTAAGATGAAATGATCTGCTTCTAGTTTCTTTGCTTTGAAATATTTATGAATCCCCCAGAAGCCCTAAAATACAACCCTTGTCATCCATTTATTCACAAAAAGTCTTGCTGGCCAGGCATGACAGTTCATACCTATAATTCTAGCACTTTGGGAGGCTGATGTAGGAGGATCACTTGAGGCCAGAAGTTTGAGACTAGCCTGGGCAACAGAGTAAAATCCAATCTCAGCAAAAAATAGAAAATTAGCCAGGCATGGTGAGAAGCACCTATAGTCCCAGCTGCTGGGGATGCTGAGGCAGGAGGATCACTGTAGCCAGGTTTGAGGGTACAGCGAACGAGGATGATGCCACGGTACTCTAGCCCATGCAATAAAGTAAGACCCTATCTCAAAAAAATAAAATAGGGCGGTGCCTGTGGCTCAAAAGGGTAGGGTGCTGGCCCCATATGCCGGAGATAGGGGGTTCAAACCCAGCCCCAGCCCCCAAAAATAAAATAAAATAAATAAAAATCTGGCTTAGTGTTGTTCATGAAATAAAGTCCAAATTATTTAGTCTGAGTTAAGCATTATGAAAGCTATCCATGTAACAAAAACAACTGTGCCCCTTTATAGTTTGAAACATAAAATAATAATAAAATAAAGAAACAAAGCGGAAGTAAAAAAACCTTATCTAAAGACTCAAGAACAACTTGTCCACTCTGCCTTCAACCATACACACACTCCCACCCGCCACATCAGCACCCCTAACCCATTCACTCTAAATATGCACTGCATACTGTCTCCCCACCACTGCACAAGCTCTCGCTTCCAACTGGAAAACATTTCCCATTCCTAACCCTGTCTCTAAAAGAATTTAAATCTACACTACCTTCAGAGTATTTGAATTTCACCTCCTCTGGAAAGTCTTACCCAACTTCTCAGTCCACAGTGATATCATCATCTCTAAAAGTCCCATAAAACTCAATGACAATGGCTCAGCACCTGTAGCTCACTAGGGCTCCAGCTACATACACTGAAGGTGGTGGGATCGAGGCTAGCCCAGGTCTGCCAAACAACAATGACAACTACAATGAAAAAATAGCTGGGCGTTGTGGTGGGTGCCTATAGTCTCAGCTACTTGGGAGGCTGAGGCAAGAGAATCGCTGAAGCCCAGGAGTTTGAGGTTGCTGTGGGCTATGATGCCATAGTACTCTACCCAGGGTAACATAGTGAAACTCTGTCTCAAAAAAAAAAAAAAGGATGGTGCCTGTGGCTCAGTGGGTAGGGCACTGGCCCCATATACAGAGGGTGGTGGGTTCAAACCCGGCCCCAGCCAAACTGCAACCAAAAAACAGCTGGGTGTTGTGGTGGGTGCCTGTAGTCCCAGCTACTCTGGAGGCTAAGGCAAGAGAATTGCCTAAGCCCAGGAGCTGGGGTTGCTGTGAGCTATGTGACGCTACAGCACTCTACCGAGGGTAATAAAGTGGGACTCTGTCTCCACAAAAAAAAAAAAAAAAAAAAAGAAAGAAAGAAAACTCAATGACAATGCCACTCAGCACTTTAGATATTAGTTTGTATTATTTATTTTTTAGAAAATATCACCTGAGGCTGGGTGCGATGGCTCACACCTATAATTGTAGCACTCTGGGAGGCCAAGTAGGTAGATTGCTTGAGCTCAGGAGTTCTAGACCAGCCTGAGCAAGAGTAAGACCCTGTCTGTACTAAAAATAAAAATTAAAAAAAATAAAAAATTAGCTAGGCATTGTGGCAGGCGCCTATAGTCCCAGCTACTCAGGAGGCTGAGGCAAGAGGATTGCTCAAGTCCAAGAGTTTGAGGTTGCTGTAAGCTACAATGATGCCTCAGCACTCTATCCAGGGAAACAGTGAGGAAAGAAAAGAGAGAAAGAGAAGAATGAAGGAATGAATAAAGAAAGAAAGGAAGAAATTAAGTGTCAAAGAAAGATCCCCATCAATGATCATAAGTGGAGAGTATTTACACCAAGTTTCTTTTCTCAAAATACAATTTTTTATAGAACAAGAAACAACATAACTATTTCAATTTACCTACTGTCTGCGAGTGTAGTGTACAACCT